GAATGTTATCGCGTTTCTTATGAATGCTGATGATAATATGCGACGCGCGTTAAATAACTTAAGAAAAGATGTCGGAAGGAAATATAAAGAAACCAAAAATTATGAAAAATGGATGTTTAATTTACGTCAATTCTATCTTAGAGGACAAGATGATCTTTTTTCAAGATTGCATGCTGAAATTAATAGAGAAATTTTATTCAAGCTGCAAGAAGATTATGAATACAAAAAATTGAAGATCGAAGTTCAATGTAATCCGTTTTTAGTACAGGATTGGCAGAAATATAAATCAAGGATCTTACAAATTGCCCAGAGAATTGACAGGAATCTCACAAGCACCACTTTTCCACCCACAATGGTTTCATCAAAGAACAGATCTGTGGATAAGATTACTCAAAAAAGAATCAAAATTGTTAAACGCCTAAGAAAATTAACATATGGTTCAAAAAGAATATCTCAGTGTCAAATTATAAGTATTTTTGATGTACTATATGTATATTTGCCAATATGCCCAAGCTTCCTAAACCCGCCGGACCTTGAATATTCACAAGAATTTTTTATACGAAAACTCTTACCAACGCTTAAGAAGGAAGCAGAACAATTATGCGCATCCAGGACAGCCCCTCCACCTTATTTTCTCGAAATGGATGGGGCGCTAAAAGTTGGTGGTCTTCGAGATCAACTAGTTTTCGAATGTCGTCTTTGCAATGAACTTGCATTGAATAATATAAAAAAAGTCAGGTTACATATTAAAAGTGTACATGAACTTGATGACAATCTAAACAATGTCCTTTATGCAACGAAGGTTAATTGCGATGCAGTTCTTACAAACTTGTTTCATGCTTTTTTCCTACACCAACATTAGGGTAGTTTTTTTTTTTCCTTTTCTTTTTTTATTTTTTGTTGGCTTTTTTTTTTTTGTTAGCTTTTTTTTTTTTTGTTAGCTTTTTTTTTTTTTGTTAATTTTAATTTTTTACGTAGCTCAAACTTGAATTGAAAATTTATTATATATGTAACTCAAAATCTTGAAATCACCTTTTATGTTCTAATGAAAGAAAATTTAGTATATAATACTGCTTTGGATTGTATCATTTGCAGAATAAAGTAAACCCTACTTTTGCTTATACTGCATACTAAGTTATAATTACATTAAACTGATAAAATTATATACACTTATTATTAGGGGACATCCATAATTTACGTTAAACTATGGGGTTTTAGATATACTAATTAATCAAACCTATATCAGGTATAATAGTAAAAATTGATAGTACAGATTTTTTCAAT